GTTAATACGATAGTTACAACAACTAACGTTGCTGCTATATTTATGAATCTTACACATTCTGCGACGGAACTCCCTCTACCGCCAATCACATGTCGAATTTTCAAAAATAGACTAGCGGGAGATGACGCTGTAAAGTTTTGCGGTTATATAGAAAGCAATAGAACCATAGTATTGGACCTCCCGACATTTTCACTAACAGATAGTGTGTGCCTTCACTCTCTAAGCGGCATTAATTTACGCGGAGCACTTGGAAAGTATATAGTTTCGAAGCAAAGCCAGCCATTTCCTTGTCATGCTAGGTAAACGTTATGCTTATGTAGGGATTAATGTCTTTCAACACTCAGTGTTTGTCTGGACTCCCCAGGATTTCCTCCTAGATGACTTGTTAATTCGCATCCTCCTGTGATCAGTCAGTGATAACCTGCCGACCACAAGCCTGTTGTCAGGATGGTGTGAAAGATGGTGGGAGCAGAGATGCATTTGAGCCCATCGATGAAGATTTCCGTCAACATTAACTCGTCCGCCATGAAACAGTCTGCAGTCAAAATCTAGCTCAATCAAAACCCTGATCTTTACGGTTTTGTTTCCAAGCCCTGGTAACACAGACCGAAGAATCTCGATTGAAAGGAGAGTTTAGTTTATCGTCATTGTCTGTGGTCAACGAAAATCGTTTCTTTTAAAACCCGGTGAAAGCGTAAAACACTGAGTGGAATGCAGTTGCTATTGACGGAATACCCCCAGAAGATAAAGTCTTTTTTGTCATGGTTGTAAGGAAAACTTATTTCTACTGGAGCCATTGATATTCGCCTGTCTGTCCCTAAATTTGTCTCACCGGTTATATAAATTTCGAAGAAGGCTGACGAATTCCATTCACCTTGTTCATTTGACAGTCTAGTTTAACACTTTCCGTACATCTTGGAGAATTTTTTGCTCATTGATCTAATAGTTTCACCAGTTACAATAGCCAAATATACAGTGGAGCCTCGGGTGACGAGCAGCTCCATCTATGAGCATTTCAGGTAACGAGCGAGCCATTTATTTCGATTGACGAGCTTCTGCTCAATTAACTAGTTGTCGGTACATGCATTTGCCTGTGTCCGCCGTTGAGTCTTGCTCCCAGTGCGTGGATCTTCGGTCATGTGCAGCCAATCGGCGAACCAACATAGTTTGATTGGTTGCGTTTCACAAGTCGAGTGTTTCAGATGACGAGCTCGGGGCTGGAACGGATTAAACCCGTTAAGCGGGGCTCCACTGTATGTATCTCACAGTATAACCGTAACCAGTCATATCTGCGTTTAAAAAGTAGTTTTCCACATCTCCTTTACCGCTTTTGAACTAAACTGATGCGACACAGATCAGTTAAGGTCCAAAATGCGTGAACCACGACGTACTATATAATCGCATCGTTTTGCTTGAACATTTGAAGGAGGTAGCCTATATCGTCGTTTGATAACGCAAGTGCGAAACACAACCACGAGACACTTCCAGAGTGACCTGAGGCTGTTTTATTTTGCTGCGGACGTTGAGTCCACGCTCACGTCCTCTTCCGCACCCTATCGGTGTGCGGCCTTGACGTGTCAGCGTGCTTGTCTGGACACTAACTGGACCGTGCTTCTTGCTCGCGCAAATGGGGAGCAAAATAGCAGGGTGGTATATCCACGTGCCTGTTTATGGAGTTGGAGTCTTATATCCAGGCCTCCAGCAGTTCTCGTCCTGTTCTATTAACGGCGCGTGCCATTATCCGCGTGCCGGTAATGTCAAATTCGTGGCCTTCTTCCAGAGTGTGGGTAGAGATCTGAGAAAATGGGTCGTCTTTCCGCACTGCCTGTTTGTGCCAATGCTTGCTGTTCTCTCATTTTCATTGACGATGACCTCCTGTACGAAGCTGAAAGCTTAGGCTTATACCAATGCCGTCCCAGTAATCACGCCTTTGTATTCTTTACAAGCCCGGCACTTTCTACAGTACTTTGTCTACCAGACCTGACCTCGAATC